ATTAACTAAATTGATCAGGAGCTCTTCCCCCATATTGCATGTATTAATTTTCTTATATTGAAACATTGTTTTCTTGATATAAGCTCCAGTTATTCATAGTATATTATTCTTTAATATATTGCTGGATTCAGTTTGTTCATATTTTATTGAGAATTTTACATCTATATTCATAGGTAATATTAATCTTTGGTTTCTTTGTGCTTTTATATTCTACTTTTGTATTAGGGTAGTATTGTCCTCCTAAAATGAGTTAGGAAGGTTTCTCTTTGATCCTTTTGGTTTGTTTTGAATGAGCTTGAGGATTGGTGTTGAGTCTTTGATGTAATTCATCAGAGAAGTCAACTGGTCACAGAGATCTGTTTGCTGAGAAATTGTTGATTACTGTTTCAATATCTTGTTATGCATCTGTTCAGATTTTTATTTCTTATTGAATCAGTTGGGCAGCTTAAAATTTTCTGTTTTTTTCTGAGCATGTATACAACTCTGGACATGTATGTAACACACATGTTATATAAAATGACAGTATTTCACCTTTTTTTATGGCCAAATAATATTCTATTATAAAGAAGATATATATCCAAAGTCTTCTTTATCTAATCATCTACTGAAGGACACTTCAGTTGTTTCCATGTCTTAGCTATACAGAATAGTGCTGCAATGAACCTAGAGGTGGATATAGCTTTGAAAATAAATGTTTTTTTGTTTTGTTTTGTTTTTGTTTTTGTTTGTTTGTTTGTTTGTTTGTCTTTTTTTAGCTTTTCAGGTAGATACCCAGAAGAGAAATTACTGGGTCATATGGTAACTCTAGTCTTAATTATTTTAGGAAAGCTACTGCTTTCCATAGCTGCTGTACCAGTTTAAATTCCCACAAGTAGTGAATAAGGATTCCTCTTTCTCCACAACCTCTACAACACCTATTATTACTTTCCTTGTTGATAGTAGAAATTCTAACCAATGTGAAGTGGTAGTTCATTATAGCTCTGATCTGCATTTCTCTAATAGTTAATGAAATTAAATATTTTTCATGTATCGGTAGAACATTTGCATGTCTTCTTTGGAGAAATGTCCTTTCAAGTACTCTGCCCTTTTTTTTATTGGATTGTTTGCTTGTTTGGTATTGAGTTATATGAGTTCTTTATATATTTTGGATATTAACTTTGTCACAGCTGTTAATTGAAAATACCTTCTCCCACTTGGTTGGTTGCCTCTTTGTTTTGTTGGTTTCTTGTTTACTTGAAAAGTTTGTGAGTTTAGTACCTATATTTTCTTCTATGTAAATTATTGTTTCAAATATTATTATATTTAGATACTTGATCCATTATTAATTAATGTTTGTGCATGGGAATAAATTGTAGCCTTGTTTCAGTTTTGTATGTTGCTTTCCAATTTTTCCTCTGCCATTTACTGAAGAGTCTTTCTCTTCTGCATTACATGTTTTTCACTTTGTCAAAAATTGTTTGCCCATATACATGTGGTTTAATTTATGCACTCTAAATTCTTTTCATTGTTCTGTGTGTCTGTTTTTCTGGCAATATCATACAGTTTTGAGTATCATTGCTCTGTAGTATAATTTGAAGTCAGGTAACATGATACTTCTCATTGCATTCTTTTTTTTTTCTTCCCCCAAGATTGCTTTGGCTATTTGGGTCTTTTATGGTTCCATACAAATTTGACGATTTTTGTTCTGTTTCTTTAAAAATTACACTGAGATTTTGATGGGGCTTGCATTCAGTCTGTATAGTGCTTTGGGTAATGTTGACATTTTAACTATATTGATTCTTCCAATCCATGAGCATGAATATTTTTTCCAATTAATTGTGTCTTTTTCAATCTCTTAAGAATGTGTTATAGTTTTCAGTATATACATTATTCACGTCTTTTGGTAAGTTTATTCCTAGGTGTTTTATTCTTTTATTTGCAATTGCAAATGGAATTGTGTTTTTTATTTCTTTTTTCTGAAATTTCATTGTTAATATATAGAAAAATGGTGGATTTTTATACATTGATTTTGCATCTTTTTCTTTTTTAAAATGTAATAGAGGTCCATTTAACTCATTTTTTGGTAACCTCCTTTCTCAGTCAAAAAAAATGATTCCTCTTTGTATACATTTTCAAGAGATTTTAAACAATTTAATTAGATATTTTAAAATTCTAAATCAAAGCAAAATGTCTGCTGATTCTTTGTGTTTATGAGTATATCTTTCTTGGAAAATAACTATTAAAATATTTCAGAGACATAAGCACCTCTATGTTCATTACAGCATTATTTACAATAGGAAAGTTATGGAAGCAGCCCAAATGCCCATCAGTAAATGGGTGAACAAAACAAGTATCGAATACTTCCACAACAGAGTACTGAGTAGTATTAAGAAAGAAGAAAAATCTACCTTTTTTGACAGCATGGATGGACCTGGAGAAAATTATGCAAAGTGAAATCAGCCAGTCAGAGAAAGACACATACCATACGATTTCACTCATATGTAGAATCTAATGAACAAACTGAACAAGCAGAACAGAGACCGACTCAGAGAGAGAGAACAGGTTGACAGTTCTGAGGGTGGGTTAGGGTGAGGTGTGAACATGGACTTTAATCCCACGGAGACCATCCCGGAGTTATCACAGATAGGGGCAAACAAAATGACCTGTCCCAGAAAACTTTTCTGTTTGCCAGAAGAAGGGAAAGGGCTCTTCCCTCTAGTGAAGAAGTGAGCCTGAGACCCTTTTCCAAAGGCTTTTATTGAAAAAGTTATCAATGGGGCTAGATAATGGGGATGTACAGGTGATCTCATTACATCAGTATGTTAATGATCACAGGGAATAAATGATGTTGAGGAAAACAAATGGCAGAAACATACTGATTTACGTGGGTCCATTTACATGAGTCCGAGACGGGATAAGTAAACATGAGGGCGTAAACATTAGGATGCCAAAGCGTTTAGAGTTAGGGTCTGTGAATAATGTACACTTCCCTCCCAGCATGAGCTGGTTATCATAGCTTTTGAGGGAAGAACAAAGCATGCTTTAAAGAATTTACTTCTAGGCCTGATTTCCCCTGGGAACCGCCAGATCCAGTTTAGTGCTATCTCCAGTATTGTTTCAAGCTTGAGCCAGGCCGGGGAAGGGCAAAGCAACCAGGAAATAAGGAAACTACTTTCAGATAGAATGAGGACTCCAGCCATATCAAAGCTGAGGGGTGAGGGTCTTTTGCCCTTTCTTTGTGTCCCCCAAGTTTTTCCCTGATGTCCATTGCGGCTGTGCCTGTCTTAGGTTGCCCCTGCCATCGAGGAGTCTTATCCGTTATTGACTAACCAGCCATCCTCCAAGGCCAAGCAGGGTGATGTGAGGGAGGCAGGGGCTGCGCCTCTGCCAGGGGGGACAGGTTTTGTCTCCTCAGTAGCCTCTTTTCCCAAGGCCTCCTTGATTAGCTCCAGCCTTGGGGCCCTCTCGCCTGTTGACGGGGATACAGTTCCTGAAACTAGGCAGGACATTTCCTAATATTAGGAGGTGGAAGGATTAAGCAAAAAAGAAAAAGGACTCGTGGACATGGACAACACTGTGGCGATTGCAGCAGGGGAAGTGAGTATAAGGGAGAAAAATGGTAATGGAAAAATACAATAAAAATTATATGAAAAATATATGAGAGAAAAAATGTTCTTTCCTCCTTGTTACATGTTTAAGATATTTTTCTTTTAAACATTTAAAAATATATAAGGATATATAGATTACAATGTTGCCCAGCTTACTTTTAGGATGTAACATTAGGATATTACTACTTACTTATAATTGGAAGAAAGATGAAGAAAATCACGAAAGAGTAGAAAACTGGGATAAAAGCTGCCCCACAGATTTTTGGGGGTAGGTTTAGGGAGGACTTTATGCAGCCTCTGTCATGTTCTACATTCTAGGAGAAACCCAAGCTACATGGGCACATTTGAACACTTTGGCTGACAGTTTCAGCTGATCCCAGCTACTGAGTATCCTGTGCCTGCCTCAATTGTTTAAATGAAGAAGGATTTATATGATTCTAGCCCCCTAATACTCAAATTCTTCCAGCAAAGTCATGGCAAAAGGCAAACTATATCTACTGTTTGAATTCCTGATCCAAAGAATCAGTGAGAATCAAAAAATAGTGGTTACTAAATGCCACTAAATTGGGTAACTTGTTATTCAGCAAGAGATAACTAAAGTGATAGGATAGAAATAAAAGCATTATCTCATAGTGTTCTAAGAGTTAACTCAGAAAATGAGTATAAAGATTCTGACATAGTTTCTAACAAATAACAAGTATTAAACAATATTAGGCCCTCATCGATTATGCCCAGGGATTTTGCCCAAATTAATCTTACATGAATTGCTAGGTTTATGCTCATTTATCATATAAGAAACTCAAGTCCTATCCTCATCTAATCTTATTCATATCTCCACCAAATGGGTAGCATGCTGTGACTCTGGATTTAGCAAAATAGGCTTAAATATCTCATACTTACATAAAACTAATTTTCATATATATCTCTGGCACATTTTTATATGAGCAGATTGATCATTCTGAAAATGAAAAACAAAATAAAAAAGGAAGACATTTTTAGAGCAAATACATCTATCACAGACTTATATTGAATAGTCATATTTTGATTTTAAGAAAAATGTTAGCCACTTCTGGAAAATACTGGAGTTTTCACATTTTATACTTTCTTTTATAGGGAAAAACTGTGATGATAACTTTACATTTTATAACTACTTAACTTTCAGAATAATTTCAGAACAATAAGCATGCCAGAATATTTTTCTGACAGCCCTTAATCATATATTTGACTCTTTAATAAAGAATATATTTTTATAAGGTCTGAAATTTTTACATTCCTGTTACTATTTAATGTGAACATAAGAACTGAGATGCAGATGACTTTGAAATATATAGTTTTGTTAAAGTTATCTTGGATATTTTCAGTGAAAGGAGCCCTCAAATAAGTAGGAAAATCAGTAATTGAGTCAAAGGCGGGTTGTTGTATGAAAGGCTAGAAGGTGAGCTCTCCCTTTGACAAGGATGGATGAGGCCCTCAGGCCTAATGACATGCACATGGTTAAGGAATTGCCACCAACTTTGTGACATCTCACCACTGTTTTTAAGAACACAGTAGAAGGAATCAAAACCAGGCTAGATGAGGCAGAGGATCAAATCAGGGAGCTGGAGGACAAGGAATTAAAAATCTCCCAGAAAGAGTAAAAAATTGAAAAAAAGACTCAAAAAGGATGAAAAGGCATTTAGGGAAATTCAGGATAACCTGAAATGTAAAAATATCCATATAGTACGGATACCAGAAGGAGAGGAGGATGAGGAAGGGATAGAGAACCTGTTTGAAAAAGTAATGATGGAAAACTTCTTTAATTGGAGGAGAGAAAAAGTCACATAAGTCCAGGAAGAACAGAGAGTCCCATTCAAGAGGGACCCAATGAGGCCCACTCCAAGACACATGATCATTAAAATGGCAAACATCAAAGACAAACAAAGAATTCTAAAGGCAGCAAGGGCGAAACAGGTAGTAACATACAAGGGAACCCTGATATGTCTAGCAGCTGACTTCTCAACAGAAATACTACAAGCCATATATGAATGTTATGAAATATTCCAAGTCATAAAAAGCAAAGGCCTGCAACCAAGACTGCTCTACCCAGCAAGGTTCTCTGTTAAAATGGAAGGCAAAATAAGGAGTTTCCCAGACAAAAGAAGGCTAAAATAATACGTCTCCTCCAAACCAGCTATACAAGATATGCTAAAGAGACTGCTTAATTGAAATTGAAGTACTAATCAAAAACCTGGCACACAAAAGCTCAGGACTGGATGGTTTCACAGGAAAACTTTACAAAACATTTAAGGAAAAGCTAACCCTTGTCCTTCTCAGACAATTCCAAAAAATCCATGAAGAGGAAAAACTCTCAGACTCTTTTTATGAAGTCAGTATCATCCTAATCCCAAAACCAGAGAAAGACAACCAAGTAAGAAAACTACAGGCCAATATTGCTTATGAACATAGATTCAACAATTCTCAACAAAATATTGGCAAACCGCATCCAGCAATACATTAAAAAGATCATCCACCATAATCAAGTGGGATTCTTCCCAGGGATGCAATGATGGTTCAATATTCACAAATCAATAAATGTAATACATCACATAAACAAAAGGAAAGACAAAAACCACATGATCATCTCAACAGATGTGGAAAAATCATTTGATAAGGTACAACACCTATTTATGATAAAAAACTCAGCAAAATAGGAATAAAGGGGGCATACCTCAACATAACAAAGACCATAAATGAAAAACCTATAGCCAACATCATACTCAAAGGGCAAAAACTAAAAGCTTTCCCACTATGACCAGGAACAAGACAAGTCTGTCTGCTTTCACCACTTCTGTTCAACATAGTATTAGAAGTCCTAGACACAGTAGATAACAAAAAGAAATCAAAAGCATCCAAATTGGAAAGGAAGGAGGAGGTAAAACTATCATTGTTTGTAGATGAGATGATTGTGTACACAGGAAACCCTATAGACGTCACCAAAAAACTACTTGACCTACTAAGTGAAAATTATAAAACAGCAGCATACAAATTAAATATTCAGAAATCAAAGGCATTTTTGTACACCAACAATGAAATATAAGAATCAGAAATCAGGGGAAAAAATCCCATTTGCTAGAGCAACAAGAAAAATAAAGTAAATAGGAATAAATTTAACCAAGGAGGTAAAAGACCTGTGTGCCAAAAACTATACAACACTGAAGACTGAAAGGAATACAGAAATAAATGGAAGCATATACTGTGTTCAGTGATTGGAAGAATTAACATCATTAAAATGTTCATACTACCCAAAGCAATTTATAGATTCAATGCAATCCCTATTGGAATACCAGTGACATATTTCACAGACATAGAACAGACATTTCAAAAATTTATATGGAACCATAAACAACCCCGAATAGCCACAGAAATTTTGAGAAATAAAAACAAAGCATGAGGGATCACAATACCAGACATCAAACTATATTACAAGGCCACTATAATCAAAACAGTTTGGTACTGGCATAAGAATAGACACATAGATCAGTGGAATAGAATAGAAAGCCCAGAAATAAACCTATGTCTTTATGGTCAATTAATATTTGACAGAGGGGGCAGATTCATTAATTGGAGTAAAAATAGTCCTTCAACAAATGGTGTTGGGAGAGCTGGACAGCTACATGCAAAAAACTGAAATTCAACCACCAACACCATGCACAAAAATAAACTCAAGATGGATAAAAGACTGAAATATAAGTCGTGACACCATAAAAGTCCTACAAGAGAACATAGGCAGGAAACTCTCAGATATCCCACACAGCAATATTTTCACCAATATGTCCCCTAAAGCAAAGGACATAAAGGAAAGAATAAACAAGTGGGATTTCATCAAAATAAGAAGTTTCTTCATGGCTAAAGTAATCAGCAAAATGAGATGGGAACCAAGCATATGGGAAAATATACTTGCCAATGATACATCAGATAGAGGTTTGATCTCAAAAATGTATAAAGAACTCACTTGACTACACTCTAAGACAAACAATCCAATTAAAAAACGGGCAAAGGACCTGAATGGACACTTCTCCAAGGAAGAGATACAGAGAGCCCAGAGATATATAAAAGGATGCTCAGCATCACTAGCCATCAGAGAAATGCAAATTAAAACCACAATGAGATACCACTTCACACCTGTCAGAATGGCCATCATAAACAGATCAACAAACTACAGGTGCTGGTGAGGCTGTGGAGAAAAGAGAACCCTAGTACATTGTTGGTGGGAATGCAGACTGATGCAACCACTGTGGAAGGCAGTTTAGAATTTCATCAAAAAGCTAAAAATCTTACTGTCTTTTGATCCAGTGATTCCACTGCTGGGATTATAACCTAAGAATCCCCAAACACCAATTCAAAAGAACTTATTCACCCCAAGTTCATAGCAGCACAATTTACAATAGTCAAGTGCTAGAAGCAACCTAAGTGTCCATTGGTAAATGATTGGATCAAAAGACTATGGTACACTTACATAATGGAATACTATATAGCAGAAAGAAAGAAAGAGCTAGTACCCTTCACGACAGCATGGATGGAACTGGAGAGAATTATGCTAAGAGAAATAAGCCAGGGGGCAAAAGACAAATACCATATAATCTCACTTACAAGTGGAACCTAGTCAACAAAACAAACAAGCAAAGAAAATATAAAAAGCAACATTGAAGGAAAAGAGAAACCAACAGAATCAAGAGGGAAGGACGGAGGGGGGTGGTAGGGAAAGGAAAGGGAAGGATCAAGTCAAGAAACATGTATAAAAAGGACCCATGGACAAAGCCAAAGTGGGAAATGACTGAGGGACGGAGGGCAGAGAGTGATGCAGGGGAAAATGGTGACAAGAAAATGGAGACAAATGTATTTGAACATAATAAAAAAATGCTAAAATTCCTTTAATAAAAAACAACCATTCACTGGGTATTTATGGTATATGTACCTCTAAAAAAAAGGACCATTAAAAACAAAAAGTAGAATACACACACATCTACTATTTATCGAACATTTTGTAGGTACATTATGTGTGGTACAGTAAGTAGAAGGAAATAAAATAAATTCCATGTATACTTATGCTTTTTATAAACTTTTAATTTCACTGTGGAGAAAGGACAGATGGAACAACAGTTAACATAATTTTAAATGCAGCATAGAAATAAGATATAAAATTTATGTGAGCTACTGCAGCCAGGGTATTAATAGTTTTGGAAGAAAGGAGCTCATATACTGAGAGAAGTAACCACATAGATTTCATATTAAGGTTAAATAGGATCTGTATTTTATATTATAATCTTAAGAAGCTGAATGCCAGGTATTATTGAAAAAGTATATGCAGAGATAATCATTATTCTGCGCATTAACAAATTACACTTACTTAAAAGAGTCTTACTTAAGAGAAAGTTCTTGCCATCTTCTGTAACACTAAGATATCCTAATATTAACACATATCTTAGAATTTTATTTTTTATTGTATATTTCCATTACTATGTATCCCCCTTATGCTCTCTTCCACCTCCACCAAATGCCTCCCAGCTCCTACCTGTCCCCCGCCCCCAATTGCTTGGATCACCACTTTGTTGTCAATGTCCATGTGTCCTTTTTCTCTTTTGCTAGATGCCTCTGCCCCTTAAAACACCCCTCCAAGCTGTCAGCCTGCTCTGTATCAGCACCAAAAAGGCCCAGTTTGCTTGTGTGTAGCGGGGGAAGTGACTCAGGGCTGACTGAAAGCAGAGCAAGCAGCATTGTTTTCTCTCTGACCCCTTCCTCACATACAGCGCCTCAATGCAGCAACCGGTGGGTTGCCCCACCCTGGTGACAACCTAAGGCTCTGCCCCTTGCAATGCAACAGGCATGCTGAGACAAAGAAATATGGCCCAAATGAAAAAAACAGATCAGAGCTCCAGAAAAACAACTAAGCAATGAAGAGATAGCCAACCTACCAGATGCCGAGTTCGAAACACTGGTAGCCAGAATGCTCACAGAGATGGTTAAGTATTATGACAAAATAGAGGAAAAAGTGAAAGTTATGCAAAGTGAAATAAAGAAAAACATACAGGGAACCAACAGTGAAGGGAAAAAAAAAAAACTAGGACTCAAATCAACAATTTGAATGGAAGGAAGAAAGAAATAAACATTCTACCAGAATAGAACAAAGAAACAAGGAATACAAAAAATGAGGGGAGGCTTAGGAATGTCTGGGACAACTTTAACATTCAAACATCTGAATCATAAGGGCGCCAGAAGGAGAAGAAGAAGAGCAAGAAATTGGAAACTTATTTAAAAAGATAATGAAGGGAAACTTCCCCAATCTGACAAAAGAAATAGACACAAAAGTCCAGGAAGATCAGGGAATCCCAAAGAAGTTGGATGTAAGGAGAAACACACCAAGACATATCACACTTAAATGACCGAAGATTAAAGGTAAGGAGAGAATCTTCAAAGCAGTAAGAGAAAAAGGAGAGTGTTACATACAAAAGACTTCCCATAAGACTATCAGCTGATTTCTCAAAAGAAACCTTACAGGCAGA